TCAAGAAGTAAAATCTAGTGGTTACGTAATCTCCGTGAATGGTTTGGATGCAATTCAACTGAACTATTCAGGCGCATATCCAACAAAATGATAATTGCCAGAATGATTTCCAATCTCCGATAGGAGTGGAACTTGAAGAAGAAGAATAAGTACATTATTATTATATCATATTATATTATTATATATATATATATATATATATAATATATGATATAAACGATATTGAAAGAGGTTACAACATAGACAATCAACAAAATCTACATCGACAACTACACAGTGAACACCCAACAATAATAGAAGTGTCAAATGCCGTCCTAAAACTCAAAGACAATAAAGCCACAGGAATCGATTAAATCTGTTGGAAAATATATAAAAAAAAAAGGTGATGATCAGCTTTTTGCAGTAACCCATAAACTAATAGTACTTATATGGCAAAATGAATTTGTTCCAGAAGAGTGGCTAAATGAAATAATATACGTTGCATAAAAAGGACGATTAACTGGATTGTAAGAACTATAGAGGCATTACTCTGTTAGCATCTTCACCTGTTAGCACCCTGCTTGGCAGGGTCACATATCAGATCAATTTACGGTTGCAAAAGGCTTGAGACTGGGAGATCCTTTATCCACTACATTATTCAAATTAGTATTAGAAACTGTAATCAGAAAATGCAGCATGAAGATGGAAGAAACGATCATGAAACATGAACACCAGTGCTTGGCATTTGCTGATGATCTAACGATCCTAGCAAAAACCGAGTAAGAATTAAGAAGAGTTGTGAAGAAAATCATCGAAGAAGCACAGAAATTTGGACTGGAACTAAATGAAGACAAAACTAAATATATGATCATAGAAGGAACAGAAGGGAAAAAAGAAGACTTTAGTATGAGGCCAGTAAGTGGTAAAAGCTATAGTTTTAAAAGGGTGGACAAATTTGAATACCTAGGTGTAGTTTTCGATGAAAATGGAAAAGATAAATGGGAGCTCGTAGCCAGAATAGCAAAAGGGAATAAAAAATTAGGTAGTTTAAGAAGCTACCAGAATATATAAAAGCAGAATATATAAAACAGTAATTCGACCCACAGTAACATATGCCGGTGAGCCTGGACATTAAATAAGAAGGAAGAGGATACTCTGGAAAGATGGGAAAGGAAAATATTGAGATGCATATTCAGAGGACGAAAGGCAGAAGATGGTTGGGAAAGAAGAACCAACAATGAATTAATGGCTTTATACAAAGAACCTACTATTACCAAGTTCGTCAAGGCACAAAGAATCAGATGGTTGGGACATGTGGAAAGAATGGCAGCAAACAGAATTCCTAAACTAGTAATAACCAGAAAATTAATCGACCCCAAAAGAAGAGGTAGACCCAGAACGAGGTGGATTAGTAAAGCGGAGGAAGACCTTAAACACGTGAAGGTGAGGGAATGAAAAAAAAAACACAAAATAGAAGCGAATGGAAAAATATTGTACACCAGGTCCTTCAGAGTAGTTAAGAATGTTATATATACATATTTACGTTAAAGTTTTGTTTAAAATAATTGTAATTAGTTAATATTAGAATTATGTTGTAAAAAAAATGCTTTAGGCCTTAACGGCCTATTGTGCGTAAAAATAAATAAATAATAGAGTGCAAAAATCGAAAGAATCGCGTTTTTTGCATTAATTGTTAATCATTAAAAACGGCTCAGAACTTTACGCAGGAAACAGGTAGGTTTTCTTCTTGTAGGTCTACAATAACTAAAAAAGTTGTCAGCTACCTGGATTATTGAGTGTCACGAGAAAATCCTTATTAGCCTGGACTAATATGGCTGGACAAGCAAGTGAAGAAACAAACTTCATATATTATGTAAACTTTACTAACAAAAACGTTGAAAATAAATATTCCTATAAATATAAATAATCAAATTCCATATTTAAATACAGCAAAATATTTGGGTATTGTCCAATAAATATAAATAATCAAATTCTGTATTCAAATACTGCAAAATATTTGAGTATTACTCTAAGCTTTTATGTAAAGAAGAAAAGAAAATAATAATTCTGATTGAAATACAAAAAAATGTACTGGCTGATTGACCAAAATTCTACGCTGTTTCTACATAATAAATTATTATATAAGCAAATACTGAAACAATAGTATTATTATAAAAACAGTATAAACATTTAGAAGGAAAATGTTACAAATTAACAGAAAATATTTCTATTCATATAAAAATTTAATCAAATTATAGGTACTTATTATAGGTACTGCTTATTTATATAAAATTTCCTCAATCGGAATATAAACTTCACATAAACTTCTTCGTGAACTACCCATTTTAAAAACAATTAACACACTGGTTTGTCAAAAGTCGAAATAAACCCTAATAATGTTATTCAACATTATATATGACCCACCTTCGAGAGGGTATTATACTTCTTAAATAACCAACCTAACCGTGTCGACGAGAATCCAGAAACTATCGACAAGGACAGCCTGTACTGGCCGAGAGAGAAAGTTACATTTAGCAAAATTTGAGATTTTAAAAAAAGTTTATACCAAATAGCTGCTTTGTGTTACACTTTATGTTAAAAATAAAAACAGATTCGGAAAGTGGGTCAAATTCTGTAGTGCCCTATTTAAAAAAAAAAGTTTTACGTTTATTTTAACCAAAAATATTTGAAAAAAAAAATATTGTTTAAACAATTTATTAATTTACAACTAAATAGTGCACTAGAACTTTTTAAGACCTTTCATATAAAAAAAGAATCATCTCAATATCTGCCATAGTTTTTGCGTTATTTGATATAAACTTTTACATTGGAACTTAGGTATGCCCAGAAACGCAAGGAACGGCCTTAAATTATAGAAATAGATTTTTTATCACCTTAAATTTTAACCTAGCAGAATTATTGATTCCGGATTGGGAGTGTAGTTAAAGGGTAAAAAATTACTAGGATGCTAATATATTAGTACAAATCTAGCACAATACTATCGTATCTCATATTTCCGAAAAAATTGGCTTTGTATTTAACTAGCGTAAATGTTTAGATGGTAGAATTGGTGAGGTTGGATAACATTTAGTAAAAACCAACCAGAGCGGTTTCTTTTTTTATTTATAAATAGTATTTAGTAAAATTATGTATGTGTGTGTGTGTGTGTGTGTGTGTGTGTGTGTGTGTGTGTGTGTGTGTGTGTGCGTGTGTGTGTGTATGTGTGTGTATGAGAGAGAAATGGCATTAGACAAAAATCTATTTGCCACAGAAAAGAGTAAAATTATAAAACAATACTTTTTTAATAGCAGAATTATTAACTTCCAACAAGGGTTAGTCGAGGGATAAAAAATTACTAAGTTGGTATAGAATACTATAATATTTCAAAAATACGTTTTTTTCTAATTTCGCCGGTTCGAATATTGAGCTAGCAGACAAGTTTCCGAATAGGTTTATGGGAGCAAAATTATCAGGATGGTCAAAGTTTAGTAAAATCTTAACTAAACACTTTTTTATTTCAGTTATAAGTAGAGGAGAGTAAATTTGAAAAACAAATTCTCCTTTAATTTTAATCTATCACAATTATTGACTTTTCACACGGGGTAGTTAAGGGGTGAAAAATTGCTAGGGTGGTAATAAATTCGTAAAAACCTATCAAAACACTATGGTATGTCATACATATTTATTTTAATTCTGCTAGTTGAAACCGTAAGCCAGCAAAATCGCTCCCCTTAAGGGTGGTTTGATGGTGAAAAAATATTATGATGGTAATAAATTAGTGAAAAATGGGTGAAAAAATATGCCATCAACAAAAAGTTTATTTTTTGAATTCTGCTGGCTTGAACCTTGAGCCAGCAGAATCGCTCCCATTAAGGGTGGTTTGGTGGTGAAAAATTATTAGGGTGGTAATAAATTAGTGAAAAATGGGTGAAAAAATATGCCATCAACAAAAAGTTTTTTTTTTTTAATTCTGCTAGCTTGAACCTTAAGCCAGCAGAATCGCTCCCCTTAAGGTTGGTTTGGTGGTGAAAAATAATTAAGGTGGTAATAAATTAGTGAAACATTGGTGAAAAAATATGCCATCAACAAAAAGTTTTTTTTTTGAATTCTGCTAGCTTGAACCTTAAGCCAGCAGAATCGCTCCCCTTAAGGTTGGTTTGGTGGTGAAAAAATATTAAGGTGGTAATAAATTAGTGAAAAATGGGTGAAAAAACATGCCATCAACAACAAGTTTTTTTTTTTGAATTCTGCTAGCTTGAACCTTAAGCCAGCAGAATCGCTCCCCTTAACGTTGGTTTGGTGGTGAAAAATTATTAGGGTGGTAATAAATTAGTGAAAAATGGGTGAAAAAATATGCCATCAAGAAAAAGTTTTTTTTTTTTTGAATTCTGCTAGCTTGAACCTTAAGCCAGCAGAATCGCTCCCATTAAGGGTGGTTTGGTGGTGAAAAATTATTAGAGTGGTAATAAATTAGTGAAAAATGGGTGAAAAAATATGCCATCAACAAAAAGTTTTTTTTTTTGAATTCTGCTAGCTTGAACCTTAAGCCAGCAGAATCGCTCCCCTTAAGGTTGGTTTGGTGGTGAAAAATTATTAGGGTGGTAATAAATTAGTGAAAAATGGGTGAAAAAATATTACGTAGGTTAAATTGGATTCCGCTCATGTGTCCCCGCTAGCTTAAGGGTCCTTGGCTCTAGTATGATGTTGGGCTCTCTCCTTACAATTTACCAACTACTCATTTCACCTTCGCTGACTTGTACACTTAGGCCGTCTTTGGACATTTATCTGCATTAATTGTTTCGGTTTGCGAAACGTGTAGTTCCATATAATAAATAATTATTTACAGTGATTTGGCCTCTACTTTTTTAAGTATTATTAAATGTATATTCTTATAAAAGTTTGTCTGAAGTTTGACCCAAATTATTTGTTTCTATTCTATACTACACTAAAAGAGTCCTTGTAGAAATTCAAATAAAGTTAATAATGTACTTTGTACTCATATTGTCGCTTATTTTTTACAGGATCAGGACAAATACAGTTGTGGCAGTTTCTATTAGAATTATTAAGCGATTCTTCAAATGCTGCTTGTATTACATGGGAAGGCACAAATGGAGAATTTAAACTTACAGATCCTGATGAAGTGGCCAGAAGATGGGGGGAAAGGAAGTCCAAACCAAACATGAACTATGACAAATTATCCAGGGCATTAAGGTAATTATTGTTAAAATATAGAAAAAGTAAATTGTGTAGAAGTACCATATTTGACATATTTTAAATTATTTAATAAGTGTAAATAATTACAAGTTAATGTCTGCCGTGTTGCTATTATGAAACTATCTTGATATGTTATTGTAGTTCTTGTTTTGTAAATATATTTTCACAGTAAAATTTAAACAATAAGGGATCTTATTGTACAGGCTCTGCATGTACATAAAAAAAATTTAATTAGAGAGAGATAATTATACATAGATAAATCACAATCGAATTACAAGCTACATTTACGACATCTACAAATTTCCACCTCCCTTCAAAGATTGGCAGTTATTATAGAAATATGTTTTTGTTTCTTTCAGGTTTATTTTTAGTTCATATGTTTACAGGTACTTTTTACAGGTTTTTTTCAGACTCTTGTGTAAAGGCATGTTGAAAATACATAGTACTCCTTCCTCGTTAACAAGAAAATATATTAATCAACATATCTACTTTTACTCTCCAACACTTCTCTTCTTTTTAAGATCCTTTTCTGCTTCATCTAACGCATTTTTTTTTGGTCGACGCACTCTTCTTTTGTGACCCATCACTGCATTTATTAATCTTTTTGGTATTCTTTCTTCTTTCCTTTTTTCTAAATATCCCATCCATTTTAATCTTGATGATTGTACTACGTCTAATATCGCAGGATCTTTGAAAAGACTGATAACTTCGGCATTTGGTTTTTCTTCTAGATACCCCCATTTTTATTACCTCCAAAAATTCTTCTCAATATTTTTCTTTTTCATATATTTATTTTTTTCACCTTGTGTTTGGTTTAACATCCATATTTCGCTTACATAGAGGACTGTCGGTATTGAAACTGTTTGCTCTCCTGCCCATAATTTGATTTTTGTATTCTTGCGACTATTTCATAGTCATCTTTTGTGCTCTCATGTATGTTAGTTTCCAAGTAATCAAATTCTCAGCTCTTCTGTTTAAATGTTTAAATTGCTATCTTTTAGCACCCAGTTTAGACAGAATAAACAGGGTTGTAGACAGATTGTCTCCTTATTTCGTTTCGAAACTGTATGATAGTTTTCCGTTGTATTTAAACTTAATGCTTACGTTGCTGATTGTAGTAATTTTTGTCTATTTCCTGAATCATATGCTTGTCCATATTTAATGGACATTATATTATATTATATAATATTTAGTGTCCTATATTTATTCCATTTCCTCGCGGACTCTTATCGTGTTTTAAATATTTTATTTTTTATTTCTTCCATAGATGGTGGATGGACAATTATTTCATCGTTTATATTTTCTTCGGCATTATACTTATATGTAGATGTACTGTTTACATTTGGTTCTTTTTCAGAATAATCCATCCATATATCTATAATTATTTGTTCATCTGTTATTAATTCTTTATTTTTGCTATTTATAAAAACTGGTCTTTTTCCTACCGCATTGCTGTTATTTAGAATTTCTTGAAAAAAAATTTTAATTAATTAATGAACATACATGCATTTCGTCTTTGTCCTATTCGCTTCTTTTCCTATCTGTGTAGCTTTTTCTTTTGCATTCCTTCTCTTATTGATAGCTTCTTTTTCTTCTTGATCTAGGACACTACAGCCCAAATTGAGCCTTCTCCCCCTTTATTTTTTGCCTCTTCCTTGCTTGTCTGTGGCTGATCTTCTCCATACACGGAGTCCTAAAAGAGCTTGTGCGTCACTGTTGTTGTTTTTAACTCTGCGTGTGTTTCTTGTGTCTTTTTGTTTTTCTTGGAATTACATTTTTGTTGTCATTTCAATAACTTTTTCTATGTTTCTCCAGGTTTCATCCACACTTCCTTGGGTTAAATGCAAATTGTGTTTTGCAATTTCTACACATCATGTCTGTAAATTTTGTCTTCTTTTAACTGTTTTATATTTAAGTTGCTTTTAGGATTAAGTTGGTTTTATTTTTTCTTTCAAATGTTTGGTTAAGTTTCGTGTTTAGCAGGAAATAATCGCTACCTGCATCTGCTCCTCTCAAAGATCTTGTATCGCTTACGATCTTCTCATATTCTCTTTGAATAAGAACACGGTCTATTTGATTGGTATATTTACCATTTGGAGCTAACCACGAACCCTTATGGATATATTTATAGGCTTATAACATATTATTCGTGCTTATAAGAGATAGTCTTTCTGTTGTTGCTAAGTTTACTAGTTTTAGTTTATTATCGTTGGCAATTGTGTGTTTGCTAAAACTACCTATTACTGGTTTATAGATAGATTCAATGAGGTGGCTTTTGGCATATTCCACAGCGACCTTTTCATATCTATTCTGGTCCACTAATTCTGGATTGCGTTCTCTAGCCTGACTCTTTTTTTAAAGCATTTTTAACTTCGAGACTGAACGCTCCATGTTGCTCTTTGCTAGTGGCTTTTCTTTACCTAAGGTAAAGAATCGCAGATTTTCCATTCTCTAGGTAACAGAATCTGCATAGATCATGTGCCAATCCCATCAACTTTAACCGGCTACTATGGCTTTGACTGTTTACCTGTCTTTGCTTATTAGGTCTGCTGTAAATATTTGAGAATGTTCTATAATGAACTGTTGGACCTATATTTGACCTGGTGAATTCGTTCCATATTTCAAAGATTTTTTGCTACCCACTTTCTTGCAGCTGTTCTTGCAAGAAAGTTTCGCTTTTCAAATTTTTGTCTTTCCAACTACGCAGAAGAGTTTTGGACCAATGAATGGCATTAATAAGCCTTGTTTGGCCATTTGATCTGGTTTGTCATTGCCCTTATTACCCTCGTGCCATGGTGGTCAGGATACGAGTTTTATTAGCTTATACATTTCTTCTTTCTCAATCTTTGTATTGAAATTTCCTAATATTATCTTTATTTCCCATTTTGGTAAAGAATTAAAATATTTTTCATAAAAATTCTCTTATTCTTCTTCCTCCTCATCCTAGCTTAGCGCATACACATTCAGGATACTTATAAACTGATCTTTCGTTTTTATTCTAAGACTGCACATTCTCTCTGAAATAGGATTAAAACTGTTGTTTTTAAAACAGTCAAAAAATGTTTATTTATTTTGTGTACCATAAAACCTACTTCCAACAATATGCCATCCCCTCCACTATTAATATCATATGTTTTGATTTTTTTATATTTCTATCAGCTCTTGTTTGCTAGTGTTTCATTTCCAAATTATTCCCTCTATCGATATCTCCATGTAGCCTATCATTACCTTTTTTCCCTTTTTGTTTCTCCTGCCACGAAATTGTTTGTAAGTTTTTTTTTATTTCTTGTTCCTGTTTGGTCATATCATTATTAATTCTTTCGCATATTCTCTTCCCCTTACTATGCTTTAATTAATATTTATTTTGCATAACCAGTTTTTCATAATCAAAATTTTTAATCTAATTAGGCATGTGCCTCTTCCAATTTTTTTTTGGCTTCCTCTTACATTCTTAAAAACATACACTATCAATCATTTAGATACTGTTAAGATGAATCCTAACCATGGAAATGGTTCTTAACAGAGCAGATGCTTCTCATGTGTTTAAAGAGCTTTAAATCTAGAAAAATAGCGTGTTTGTAACTCATACTACGGAAAAGTCGCTATAATATTCTCCAACTAATTTGTTAGAGGGACTTGATGAAGCACATAAGCAGATGCTTAAAAACCCAGAATGCTGAAATTGATACCAAAAAAGTTGTCTGAGAATTTGCTGCTGGGCTTGGTGAAAAAAGTAGAAGAAAACAAACATAATACTCGAAGTAACAGCAATTGAGGTGATAGAAGAGAAAGAAAGAAATGGATTCAAAATGGTTAAAAATTAATAGACAAAGACAGAAAAATGTTTACAAACAACCATTGCTGCAGAGAGATAAAAGACAGAGCAGTGATACGTACTAGCACAGAATATAGACGCAGGAAATATTGTTAAGTATGCTCATCTGAAAAAAGAAGAAAACTTCTTTAAGATAGCGTTTTGATATAACTAAACGACTAAACCTGCTGAATATAGCGATGAAATTTTACATCGATGTAAAGAATATGAGCCAAGAGTTTAAAGCAAAGATTAATTCGTATAAAGACAGAGAAAATAATTCTTGAGGAATATTAGGTGATTTCTAGATGAACTGAGTATTTTGAGGACTTACTGAATATTGATAGATAATCTGTAGGACAGAGTAACGGCAATTGTTATAGTAAAACTGCATATAGCAAAGCCAAGCTTAAAAGAGGTTTGGTGCCTGTCTTTTATAAGTAGCTGTTTATCTGGGACAATGAAAAAATGACCAAGAAATAGATAGTAAGTCTCATTTTTCCAACACATAAAAAAGTCATAAATTAACGTAAATAAACTTTAGGGGAATAAGACTACTCAGTATTGCTCACAAAGTTTTCTTTACTCGACTCTACAGAAAGTTATTTTTCTATGGAGTATCGATGAAATGTATGGGACTTGTCTTCTTCTTTGAGTGCCTGTCCTATCGGAGATTGGATATCATTATGGCGATTCTAATTATATTAACTGCTGTTTTCAATAATTCGTTAGTGGTACAGCCAAACCACTCTCTTAAATTTCTCATCCAGGACATTCTTCTACGGCCTGGATTTCTGCGTCCTTGAATCTTTCCTTGCATTATATTTTCTAGGAACGTGTACTTTTGTCCTCTCATCAGGTGGCCTAAGTATTCAAGTTTTCTCTTTTTTATATTCATAATATCTTCTGGATCGTTATTTATTCTGCTTATTACCTCTTCATTTGTAATTTTATCCACCCAACTTATTCTTAGTATACGGCGGTAGCACCACATCTCAAAGCTTTCAAGATTTTTAATATTTCTCTGTTTAAGAGTCCATGCCTCAACACCGTAAAGCAAAGTACTGAATACATAGCACTTTAACATTCTAGTTCGTAGATGAATAATAATATCACGATTACAAAATATTTTTTTCATTTTTATAAAGTTAGACCTGGCAATTTCAATACGTCTTTTTGGACT